AGGACGAGTAGGGGACACTGCAATAGTAGGAGCAGGAATATATGCAGATGACAAGGTAGCAATTACATGTTCTGGAAATGGAGATGTCTTTTTAAGGACCAGTGTAGCAGAGAAAATTGCCAGTCTATACCACAACAAAGGCTATGGCCTTAGACAGGCCTGCAGGGAAGTGATATCCCAAAATCTGAAAGATGCGTCTGCTGGTATCATTGCTGTAGACAAAAAGGGTGATGCTGTCATTGAAACAAATGCTGGGGTGATGTTTGTGGCCTCAATGAATGGAGGCATTTCAAGAGTAGAAGTTCTAAGGCCTATTAAGAGTTTCACCAATGTGATCTGGGAAACGGATGAGCTGGTTGCCTACCTGAACCCCAACCCTTGGACCCCTGGGTCAGTCATTATCACTAGGAAGACTCTAAGTGGGCCTACTAGCATCTTTCAGTTGCCAACACCTGATTTCGTTGCCATGCTACAAGCTGCAAAAACTGTATCAAACTTGTTATGTGAGCGACTAGGAGTACAACGCTGTGCTTTGATTTTTTATCCAAATCCTTCTAAACCTGCACAGATGAAACTACTCCCACTCTATGGGTTACAGCCAAAGTGGCAGCCCCATCTTGCAGAAGAGGAGGAGTTTTACAGTCATGACACTGGTTTCTGTAACTCAAAAAGTGGCCCACGTTGGAATGATGAGGCACTGAACCAAGTTCAGGCCAAGATCAGAAGTGCACTGCCTACACCAAATGCACCATTTTGCTTTGACTACTTTGGTGACCCTTCCAGTGATAATCTGTTTAGCCGTATTATACAAGGAGAGCAGCAACAGTGGAGAGTGTGGGAAGACAGTGAGCACGTGGCCTTTCTGACACCATATCCAAATAGACCTGGTCTAACTGTGGTGGTGCCACGCAGGCCCCTGTCTAGTGACATCTTCAGACTGAACAATCTTCAATACAATGCTCTGATCTTTGCAACATATAAAGTTGCCAAACTGTTACAGGAAGGTATGAAGGCTCCAAGTGTTGCACTGATCTTTGAAGGGTTTGAGATCGATCATGCCCATGTCAAACTGGTCCCTCTGTTACCTCCACCAGATGGGACAAAAGCTGAAGAGCTGCAACCAGAATTCTTCCAAACCTACCCAGGATTTGTATCCTCCTTGGATGGCCCAACGGCTGATGCTGAGTCTCTCAAAGACATCCACTTAAAAATCACCCGATGCACACCTCCTCATTCATGGAAAGATCCTCAGGTTCATTCCACGCTGGCCATAAATAGCCAGTGGTACCGAAACCTGTTCCAAATTCAAAACACTTTGTTCCACAGCACAGTGGAGTATTTTCACAATTCCTGCCAGTTCTCCTACGCTTTGACCCCTCTCACCACAGACACCATATCTTCACCAATGGGCCTAGGATCTGACTCAGAGCCAGTGTCTGTCAGCCTGCTTGGGCAAGATGTGTACCTGGCTGATTCAATGCAGTTTGTCCTTGAATACTTCCTTCGCTTTCAGGAGAACCTTGCTGGAGCCTACTACATATCTCCTAGCTTTAGAGGGGAAGATCCAGATGCAACACACTTGAATCAGTTCTACCATGTCGAGTGCGAATTATTGGGGGACATGAACAAGGCCATTTCCATTGCAGAGGGATACTTGGTTCATCTTACCAAGTGTATGTTAAAACATCACTCAGACATGATCCAGAACTCAGCTGGAACCCTGACACATGTAACAGAATTCCTGAGCAAAATGGAAGGAGAAAATACTCTGCCAAGAATCCCTCTGGATCGAGCCATTTCCATGATGCCTTCTGCAGACTGCTTAGAGTGGGTGCAAGATGGCCAGCCCCACTTTGGTAGGAAGTTAACTCGCAAAGGGGAGCGTGTCTTGATTGAGAAATTTGGTGGTGCTGTATGGCTTACTGAAATGGACCACCTGGGAGTTCCTTTCTACCAGGCATATGTGGAGGGCACGGGTCGGTGCAAAGCCAAAGCAGCTGATCTCTTGCTGGGGCTGGGTGAGACCATTGGTCTTGGTGAACGCCATTCCTCCCCAGAGATGGTAAGAGAAGCCTTGAAGCACCATGCAGTAGCAGAAGAGTCCTACAAGTGGTACATCACAATGCGCAAAGTGATGCCACTCCTCACCAGTGGATGGGGCATGGGGACGGAGCGCTACCTGTGTTGGTTGCTTCAACATGATGATGTTAGAGATCTCCATATCATACCAAGGATGAAAGGAATAAAATACATGCCATGATCTTACAACTGCTGATATGTAGGGCAATAGATGTAATATATTTATGGTAGCCGGGCTAAACAAAACCATTAATTGGGGATTTTGAGCTCACAATTACATCAGGGATAAAAAAAAAATGTTATCTATGATCATAATTTCTATTTTCTTTATGTTTCTCACCTTCTAATGATACACTGTAGTCTAGTCTCCTGATTACTGAAGCCCTCAAATATTTCTAGAATTAAATATAACACTGAATAAAACTTTTTAAAAGTACCTATATTGAAGTTACACCAGATAAAGTTGTTTTTCTTACTGTTAAAATGTTGATTTAATATTACATATGTTTACATATAACCTGCTTTTTGCATTGTGTTAGAACAGATCATACAAAAATAAAAAAGGAAACACTTTAGTTTTGCTATGGCTGTTTCTTAAAACATCTAAGTAATCAGTCACGTAAGCAGGTTTAAAAAAATCATGTTTTTTTCCTATTCTTTTCTGCTCCTTAAATTTGTTTCATTTAAATGAAGTTCATGTGAATCATGTATTGTTATATCAAATAAATATTTGTCAAAGATCTGTGTGTCTTGCAACATTTTTTAAGATTGTTCTACAGAAATTATGAAATTATAGTACATTCTCTAGTAACTAACTTTACAAATGTTGATTATAACTAATGTTAAAAAAAACTCCTCTCTGGTGCAGCAGCTTTTCTACATACCTGCTCTGAATTATAAAGCTGTTCTGAAGCACATTGTTCAGTAAGCCCTGATTGGAGAAAAATGACTTCAGTGCATAAAAATGTCTTTCATGTTCCTTGGACCCACTTGCTGGTTAATACGGACCCAACCTGGTTTAAAACATTCATACTGTAAATTCATGCATGTTCTCCGATGACCGTGTCTAAAGGTCACTTCTCCTGTTTGTATGGTAAAGCCATCTGGAGCGTCTAGCAGCAGGCTGCACGTGATACAAATTAGCCAATGAGCTGTGTCAGTCTGGGTAGCTGCTGTTAGCTACTTTTAGACACAGCAGGCAAACCTGTGGCAATGGGAAAGAAGAAGAAGATGAAAGAGAGCAGAGAAAGTGTGGACTGCTGGGAAAAAGTGCGGTGAACTGGTGAAAGTAACATTCTCCACCATAAATATACCGGTAATAAAAAATAAAAATTGATCCAGGCTCACGAATGAGCACCTAGATATAAGCTTGAGAATGGCTTTGTCGCCATTCAAACCCAGGTTTATAAATCGTCACAGGGCAGCCTAAAGCCCACTTCTCTCATTAAGCCATAAAAAAGGAAAGAGAGAAAAAAAGATAAATTCAGGTTTTTTATAAAAGATAAAAGACATGGAAGTCAGGAAATCGTCTATATACCGAACTGTGAAAGATTGTTTTGTTTTCTATTTTTTTAACTAAAAAACTCAGTGTATAACATGGATGCAGAAACACCCGCCTTTTATTTCAGTGTTAAATGCTGTTTAAAGTAATGGATTATAATTAAAAATGTCTCTGAACCTTTACTTGTTGTTGATTTTCCTTTTTTTCCTCAGCATTTTTAATTAGTGACTCCTGGTTTAGGCCATGAGTCGCAGTTGGTACTGTATTTTGGGAAGGAAACCGAAAAGTGTGATTAATTCTTTTTTTTTTTTTTTACATGAAATGAAAGTGTGATTTAACTGCATTCAGTATGAATTTGTGTATTACCATGTATTAGCCATTGCAAGAAATTAATTCCAAATTACTTAATTGGTATGTAAATAAAGTCGACAGTTGGTCATTTGATCTCAGTATGAATAAAGCTGTTCTATGAATGACATAAGTTAAATAACATAAATAAACCAACAGCAATATGAACACCAAAGAAAACAACAAATATGTGAAGATAATTAAAGTAGGGTCAGTTTATAAAAAATTGCACTAGGACGCTTCATTGAAGATGTAACGGTTTAGTTGACCGGACCTTATTTATACCCCAACACATGGGGTAGATTTCAACATGATGTTGAGCCGTTTAAACACGACACCAATAGCAAAGCAGACAGTGGGACTTTTCGTTACTATGTTAATAACTGTGTATAGTTCATTAGACGGTTGGTAAAAAAATACACTCATAATATATTTTAAACCACAATAAATATCTTAAAAAAACGATGTATTTGAGTATTTTATTTTTTTACACGACTTGGAATTATGTAGATATGGGGCCCACCCAGATAATGTTGCTTAGGGGCCTATTGTGTCGTTACGCCATTGAAGGAGAGCATAGAAACAGCCAAGAGGCTTATACATAGGAGAAGTTGCAAAAATGTAAAAATCAGGTGAGAGAAAAACATTTAACATAACAGTTAAATTAAGTATTGTAAAATAAAATAAAAGATTTGTTACTGTGGCTCGTACTTCAGAATGTCAGAATTCTGACTTTTTTCCCAGAATTCTGACTTTTTTCCCAGAATTCTGACTTTAATCTCAGAATTTTGACTTTTTTCTCAGAATTCTGACTTTTTTTTCTGAATTCTGACAGAATTCTGACAATAAAAAGAGCCAGAATTCTGAGAAGAAGTCAGAATTCTGACTTTTTTCCATACTAAAATGAAATAAAATTTAAAAATCGGTTAACTTTTTTTTTAGTGGCCCTAATCATACTCTTCCGTAGAGATTAGACCGACGTAAATATAATTCATTAAATGTCAAGCCTTTGGACTCCGTCGTAGATTGGTTGAGATAAGAGGGCGACATTTAAACCGGAAGTAGTATTTATCTTCTGACGTATTTCCTGTTGTGCTCACTGTATGTGACCCCCAGCTACAAGAGAGACAAGCCAGCTCTTCTACTCCTAATTTCTCAAACGTAGGTTGACGTTTGTTTTTAAATATTTGTTAACTTAGTTGTCACTGCGGTTAAATGTAGTTTCAGGTTGTTTCTGCTTGTGTTTAAACCAGGCTTAAATTAAGGTCAGCGCCACACGGCTACTTACTGCGCTAAGCTAATAAGCTAGTGGGGAGGTGTGTGACTTTCTGCTGGACCAGCCATTTTCTACTCTCTCTAACCCAGTGGTTCTCAAACTTTTTCTGTCATTCCCCACTTTGGACAAGGGGGAATTTTCAAGCCCCGCCTGTCCCCATCGCCCCAACACAATGCTAATGAAATATTCAACAATCTTAAAATGTTCCAATTTTATTGAAGTAACAAGTAGTATCTAAATACAAATCTACATCAAATAACAGCAAGCTCAAAAATAAAGAAAATAAAAATGCAGCTGTGTCAAAATTTGTATCAAGCTCAAAGATAGAAAAAATTAAAGTGCCACTCTGCAATCTGTTAATAAAAGAAAAGAAGTGAAATCCATCTGGCAAGACAGGTCTATTTATCCCTGCATTAGTGGCTGCAATGAGCCTGTTTTGCATTGCAGTTTCTCAAAACGGGGTTGCAGGCTTGATACTGCCACTCTCAAGTCATGCTCAATGTTCTGCTGAGATCTGTATTTTGTTTTCATTGAAGCAGCAGCTGAAAAGCCCATCTCACAGAGATATGATGTGGCAAAGGGAAGAAGAATGCACACAGCTCTCTGCCCGATGAGTGGATACTCGCTCTCCACTCCTAACCAGAAACATGAACATGTGGCTGTGTGAATCAAACGCCGTTATTTATTTAAGATAAAATATTTCAAATTCAGTTATTTATGATCAACCTGCGCCGTCAATCCCGGCGCATGTGCGCTTTATTTGCAGTCTGGACGCTAAAGTTAAACATGCTGTGTCTCTGCTCTGACTGCAGCGCTGATAGGGACTCCTGCGATAGCGGGGGAGAACGGGGTTGGGACGGAGGAGGCGCCCCACGGCAGCACCTGCCGCTGGAGGACAAGAAAAGGAACGATACGTGCTTTCACGTAAGAGTCTCCAAAAGGCGCTAGATTTGTTTTTTTGAAAAAGAGTCGCTGGAGGGGTCTGAAATATAGCGACAAAGTCGCTGAGCTGGCAACACTGGGGCGCGAAAGTTTATTCTGTTACAAATAATATGCCGACGTCACGTCAATCATTATTTTGGCACTTCAGTTCCAGGGGAAATTTTTCTCATATCTAATGTTCTTTTAATTAGACTGCATGTAGGCTAGTAATGATTACTTTGTGGGTTTGATTGGTCTAAAAAGCGGCAACATACAGCTATAAGGACAGTTTGCTCTCACACATTCTACATTTATAGTCACACACACACACACACACACACACACACACACACACACACACACACACACACACACACACACACACACACACACACACACACACACACACACACCGGAACTTGGCGCGCCCCACCTGTCACGTCTCAATTCCCCACCAGTGGGTCGCGCCACACACTTTGAGAACCGCGGCTCTAACCACAGGGAGAATTACTCAGAGAATATCATCATTTTAGTAGGAGGGATTGCCTCAAAACATGTTTGCGGAAGGAATTATAAATACAACTGGTGTTAAAATGGTTTCCAGTGGTCTATGGGGCATGTTTTCCAACTAGTTAAAGATTTACTAATTTGAAGGAGGATCATGTGGACCTCTCCCTGTGGTTAGATGAGCTCTTCAAACTTTCTACTACATGTGGTTTTATGGGGATTTTTTTTGTAACATTTCATCAACACATGCTGATTACTTTAGCTTTAAATCTTTGTATTCAGAGGAGTTCAGACTTACACCTGATTCAGAACAACCACGTTTCTTTTAACTTAATTGATCTGGTTGATATTTTGTAACACATGAGACCAACTGAGCGATAAATATGAGAGTTAATCTTGTTGTGTTAGCAAACTAATTCACAACAACTATGTCATGAGTTTTGTGAATTAAAGTGTAATGGCACACGGATTGTAGCAGCTTTTAGGGATGACAGATTAGAGACAGACTATTCGTTTTACCCGCCCACCAATCAACGGCTTGCTTCTTGCTACACCTGGTTTCACAGAGTGGGGGTGGAACACAGGAGAGTGGAGAACCTCGTCTATTCAGCCAGTACAACAATCCCCTTTAACGACCCACCTTTAAGACACCTGGGCTACGTTCACCCTGCAGACTGAAGTGACCCAAATCAGATTTTTTTTGCCCATATGCATCTGATCTTTTCATGACAGTCTGAACAAAACGGATCCGATTTTTTCCTATGCAACCCAGGCCACTTGGTCTGATCTTTTCAAATGCAGCCTGTCTCTGAACGGCCATGTCGCGTTCATCCGACCTGAACGCCATAAGTAACCGACAAAGGTCACTATTCTGCTTCTTCCTACACAGCAGCGGCAAGACAAACAAACACCATGGTGGACGATGATGTGAAGAGCAGTATTTTTTTTTAACCATCTTGAAAAGATTGATGTTTTAAGGTTTGGAAAGGTCGCTAGATGTGTTCCAGCACTACATCCATGTTTACTCCGGTAAACACGAAGCACGCTGGCTTGTGTTGTCACTGCGTCTTCTACTGCGCATGCGGGACACTTAAGCTGTATGAATGTTGTTTACACAGGAGATCACATACAAGTCGCATATATATGGAAATGTAAACAACAACGCAAAAAAAAATCGGAATTGAGTATCAAGGCCTGCAGTGTAAACGTAGCCTTAGATAGGTATGGTGTATTGCAGTCTAACAAAAGAAGCCAAATGGCCGCATTCCAAACTAGTTGACCCCTTCGTCTGTTACAATTTGCATGTTTTCAAAACAAAAACAAGGCTGTGTTGGGCTACTGTATAAAACATCGAACTCAACACTATTCCTGACATTTTGAATTGGAAAAGCTTCCTGGATGGGACGCGAATCGTCTTCAAACTCGGAAACCAAGTCCAGTGGATTGCTTTTAATTTTTTTGGAATGGCATCCCACCTCAAATGCGTAATGGCACAGGGATTATAGCAGCTTTTAGTGATGACTGATTAAAGACAGACTATTCAAACTCATGCCTCTGCTGTGATTTTAACCAATTTATTCACACTAACTCCTCAAAAGTTGAGTTGTTGCAATCTCTTTCTCGGACTCTAATCTGTTGTTTTTAAATAGTTTGTCAATTGGATTAAAAGTAGCTGACTGAGTGAGTCAGCCCAACAGGTTTATTTTGTCGGTGTGTTTGGGGTTGCTTTAAAGTTGAATACTCCTCCATTGCTTTTGTCTTCAGATTAGGATGTTAGGGCTGTGTGATATATTTTAAACATCTATCGCAGGGTTCCCGCAGATCCTTAATAAGTCTTAAAAGGCATTGAATTCTTCCATATAAAATCAAGGCCTTAATTGGTGTTAAAATGTCTTAAATCAGTCTTTCATTGGTCTTAAAATTGTTACCACATCATAAAAAGGATTTTATTTTTGTAATCCATGTCAAACTAAATAATTGACAATATTTTTCTCACATTTACCGAACTGCTCGCTGTAACCATTATTGGTTCCGTCCGATAGCGGAACCAATAAATAGAGATGCTGTGGCCAGACCTTGGGGTGATGTGCCACTAACTTTTTATCTGGACAACATGGGAAAGTTTTATATTCAATGAAAAATAGACTATCCATCCAAGAGTTTTCTGCATGGCGAAAACCACTACCAGGGAATGTAGATGAAGCACGATGGGAATCAAGGCAGTGGAGATACATGTACGAAGCATGAAGCGTCAAAATCAAGTTATGGAGAAGCAGCAGGTATTTCTTCATTCTGTTCCATCCTTGTCTCTGCAACGCCTCCACAGCATCTCTCACATCACCAACAGCGACAGTAGAACCAAATCTCAGGAAAATGTTTGGCGGCATGCCATGAATGAAAGTAGAGGGATTGAGTAGGGAACAGAACAAAGTTAGGGAATTCAGTTTAGTAGTTGTTGAACGTTTTAAGCTTTCTTCCTATATGGATTTTTTTTTAAACGTATCTACTGGACCAGAAAGTAATGGTTTATGTTTAAAATAAACATTTGGGGTAAATTTTTCTTGTGTTTATTGTCAAGTTGGTCTTAAATTTTTATTTTAAGAGGCATTAAAAAGTCTTGAATTTAACTTGCCTTATGCTGTATGCTATGAACCCTGTATCAGTATCTTTCCTATCAGTCGATGTTGATAATCATCAGTTAGTGTTTTGTTTACATGTTTGGCATGTGAACTGATAAGAATTAAATGTGTAAACATAATTTTTTTCTCTATTAAGAGGTCAGACCTACCACCAATCTTACTTGGCCTTTAGAGTTTGAGAGAGTAAATTGCTGTGTTGCTGTGCATATATTTGCTAACCACTGTGGAATTCCCACAAGGGCTGCACATTTTAGAACGGTGACAATAATGTGATTGTTGCTCTCATGAAAGGTGTATGTGCCGTGAAAAAGGATCCCAGCATTCTCGCACACCTCGCTCTTCTAGCTGATCCAACTTCATTGGTTGTTTTACGCAATATCGGTAGTATCGAGGTATAAATCAGCCTTTAATCCCACACTGCTCCCCGGGCTCCACTCAATGGCAGCCCACTGCTCCCCAATGGGATGGTTTAAATGTAAAGAGCAAATTTCCCCATTGTGGGACAATAAAGGACTTTACATTACATTAGTTTCTGTGAAAAAACAAATGCTGCTAAATCCACATCTTTGTAATGCATCAACCTTTTGCTCCATTCTTAGGCTGTAATATTGTTTTCCGAGACCTCTTGCGAATTGTTCCTGGTTATCTCAGTTTTTTTTTTTTTTTGTGAAATTGCATTTGTCCCCTTCAGAAAAAAGTCTCAACCATTCTTCCTGGAAAATTCAGAAGTTTTGAAAGTTATGAAATCAGTGCCATCAGGTGGGTTTGATAAGGTACAAAATGACTGGAGAGAGCTCTTTGCATTCTTCTTGTGTGAAAACATTTAATAGGTAATGGGATAGAACTGAACTCACTGGTATTAATTAGCCCAGGTAGGGAGATGGTTGCTTTTTTGTGTTTTTTGTTATTCCTCTATTTTTTTTACACAAAACCTAATGTATGCATTTGTTTTGATTACTTTGCTCTGTGCAATTAACTTTAGCTTCCATGGGCATCTGGTTAAAAATATATGTTCAGTAGATGGTTTATTTTTTAGTTATAATTTAAGATCCATCAAGGATGCAGATGATGTTTTACTTTAGAACTTCACCTCTCAAGAGCGAAGGCTGGATGGCCTTCGTTATAAGCAGGATTTGCATCGGCCTGATCTTTATCTAACCTTTCCTGTGTCATCACCCAGCGTCTAGGGTCATCGCCCTATCTATGTGTGATCCCTGATGGGCAGCTGGTCTCGCGGTGCTGTGCTGGAGCTGTACAGGGCGCTGCTCCGTGCAGGGCGTCACCTTCAGTACACCGACCGAAACTACTACCGCCGGGCCGTGACCCGTGAGTTTCGGCGTTGCCAGGCCCTGACTGTACCCGAGGATAAGGAGGAAGCGCTGAAGAGGGGCCAGTTTTTTCTCAGCAGCAGGCTGGGTGGGCTTATGTAGGGTTGGGGAAGGACCGTCTGGAGCTGCATCAGGGAGGTCGTCGTCTTTCAGGTAGTATCCACAGGTGGTTTGTTCATGTTGATTGGTTGACAACAGGACAATAAGCAGTTTATTATGTCTTTGTCCCTTTTCTGTTATCACCATTTTTTCTGTTTTGTTTTTTCAGCAGTAAGATGGCTGGGGTAAATGGAGACCGTAAGGGGAAAAAGGACGACAACGGGATCGGAACCGCTATCGACTTCATGCTTTCCAATGCCAAGCTAGTGCTGGGGGTGGGCGGGGCAGCCATGCTTGGTATTGCAACACTAGCAGTTAAAAGAGTAAGCAGGAGGATCTCAGTCTGTCATTGTTCTCTTATGTTTACCTCACCCAGACATGATCTAAAGGCGAAAACTTTCCAACCTGAAGCTTTGTTTACATTCTGCACTCCGTTGTTTGTGCAGATGTATGATCGCACGATAAGTGCTCCCACCAGCCCCACTAAGATGCAGCAGGCAGGAAAGAGAAGCTGGGAGGAGCCTGCGTGGGTGGGGTCATCACCGCGGGTACTAAACCATGACATGAAGTCCACAGTTAGCAGGTCACTCCAGTCTCTGCCCACCTCCTCACATTCTTTTGAACCAGGTGAGGGAGAAATTCCTCAGTCACAGTGAATTTATTAATTTTTTTGTTCAATTTTGAGATCTATTTCTTTTATTTTCATGTTTTTCAATGCTTGGTTTTAATAAGACATGCAGCCCTTTTGTCTTTTCTTGTATATCTGTTCACAGACAGCTTACTGGGAGGAATTTTACTCTTTCTTTTCAGTGGGTTTGGATCTTCTGTCTCCCTGTAGTTAATGTCCATTAATGTCTAGATATTTTAGCTTTAAAGTAGCAAGATCCTCTTTAGATTCAGTGTGGTTTATTTAAAGCTGTCAATGGCAGATAAAAAAACGGTGCAAAATGATTCATGCACTTTGAAACTTTTTGGATTCTTCATGTATTTGATTTGTTTTTATTCTTTTAAAGGCCATCATAAAGTCGTGTGAAATGTTGTAAAATGATGATAAAATTCACAAATTCTTCTTGGACATTCCCACATTTAGCTCCAACTATTTCCCTCTTAGCTTCCTAATTCATTCTAAATAAAAAGATCACCAAATATCTGCAGCATTTTTAATTAAAGCATGTCTGTCGTCCCCAAAGACTGTCTGCGGAGAGCCGTCGGCCGCTCCACACTGGGAGGAGGTGGGGCCTCCCAGTCCAGCCTGATGCGCGCCAGGATGCACCTCTCCCTGCAGGAACATCTGTGGGAGTTCTACCAAACCAGGGTCAACATCCCTTCTGAGGAGCAGGCCACAGCCAGAAGGGCGGCGTTGGACATCTGCGCTGAGCTCCGGGTCTTTCTTCACGCCAAGCTACCCGACATGCCGCTCAGAGAGATGTACCTCAGCGGCAGTCTGTACGACGACCTTCAGGTGATTACTAGCATCCGTTTACTGTCATTTATCCATCTGTGGCTTTGAATAAAAAGTTTTATTTGAACTTTTTCAGGTGGTGACCGCTGACCACGCTCAGCTCATGGTGCCTCTCATCTTGGAAAAGAATCTGTGGTCATCCATTCCAGGGGAGGACACTATCATGAACGTCCCAGGGTTCTGGCTTGTCCGCCGGGAGAACCTTGAGTACTTCCCTCGAGGCAGCAGCTACTGGGACCGCTGCATGGTCGGCGGTTACCTTTCCCCCAAAGCGGTCCTGGAGGTCTTCGACAAGCTTGTCACAGGCTCCATCAACTGGCCGGCTATAGGGAGCGTGCTGGACTACATAATCCGCCCTGTTGTTTCCTCTGAGACGCTGACCCTGGAAGTCCAGTACGAGACGGACCGGAGGCTGTATGTGGACTTTTTACCTCTGCTGGTGATGGAGGAGGGAACCTCGCTGATTGCTAAACCGCACCGTCTGTCCGCCGAGCGCAACAAGAACCTGTGGCGGCAGAGCTTCCGCGTGGCTGAAACGGCGCGGCTCAGGGCACTGGATCAGGAGGACGGGGGCTGCAGGTGCACCTGCCTCAAGGTGGCGAAGGCGGTGTGCAAACTCAACCCCGCCCTCCAACGGCTCAACTCCAGCCAGCTCACCAACACCATCCTGCTGCTGAGCGAGAAGGAAGGCGACTGGACGCATGACGCGCTGGCGGACCGCTTCCTCCAGCTGCTGCGAGCGCTGGTGGGACACCTAGAGGCCGGGAGGCTACCGTGCGCACTCAGTCCCAAAGTTAATTTATTCTGTGAGCTGACTGAACAGGAAGTAGACGAGTTGGGGTATACTCTCTACTGCGCCCTCTCAGATCCAGAGGGGCTGCTGAGAACTGCAGTGGAGCAGCCATAAACTCATTCTAGTAAAATGCCAACCTTTTTTTTCCTCTCTCTGGGGGTTAAATATTCATCAGTCGATTGAGGCTCCAGGAGAAAAAAAACCTGCATGGAAAAGTCACTTCTTTTTGTTTTTATCACTTCTAAGAACATCAGTGAGTAACAGTGACGCAGTAGCAGACTGTTTCACCTCATGGCTGTGTCCTTTGTTGTTCAGATATCCTCAGCTCAGTGGAAGGATTCCATAAAGCCATTGTATTAATGAAGTTTAGCTTGTTGTTCTCTATGGAGTTCAGGCAGATGAAACTCGTAGGGCTCTACTATTCATTACGAAGATAAACGCACCAAATCAGCTTTATCTTACCCCCATTCTGAGAAGCAGGTCTATTTAAAGAAGTCCACAGTTACTAAGCCTCCTGTCTGTTTTTAATCTAGGCTCATAAGACTGAATATCATGTTGAATTGTGTTTGTGCCGGTCCAAGATGTAATAAAATTGCTAATCTGCCTTAAGGAGTCAGCATTCTGTAACTTAAGATGTGTGTTTTGCGGATGTTACTCTTGGGTTTTTAAAAATATTTCACGAAGATGAGCCCAACAAAAAGGAAATATAACTTTCATTAATACAGTGGCTTATGTCCTTGTTACATTATTTTGTGTTAAAGTCCCTGGCAAAAGTATTCAACACAAAATAGGTCATAATCTTAAAAGTGTGGCATGCCCAATTTACTCCTCACATAAAATCCAGTGCAACCGGTTGCCTTCAGAATAAACACTTTTAATTGAATATGTTTTTTTTTTAATGATTAAATAACTTTTGAAAACAGTTTGAAATTAATTTTATTGTGTGGTGATAAAACAAATGTGGCTAAACAGAAATTTGGTCAAGACCTTATAAAACCCTTACCTCATTTTTGCACCACTTTTTCTTCGTTCATCCGATGTTCAGATGTTTTCTGGAGCAACGGGATGAAATGGAGGGTTTGGGTGCTGAGTGGAATGTTTAGCACGGCGCTGCATGCTAACAGTGTTTTTAATGTCTTTAATGGCTTAGCTTGAATGGGTTAAACCTGCAACTTAGAGAGTGTTTATTTCTGTTTGCAAAATGTTCAGATTTAGTAGATTCAGTAATGGGGACAGAGATGGTCGCTGATCGTTTACAGTAGTAGCCATTCAAAATTTCCCCACTTTTGTTGACTGGTCCTTGGCTGGGCCCTTATAATTCCTTTTTAAACATCTAAAATATTCTTTCTGTCATGATTTGTGAACATTAAGATGTAAAGCGAAAGATCATCTCCTCAGACCCTATAATTCAATGAAAGGGTGGAGTCAGAGTAAAAACGTGCACTCCCATGAGAAGGCCACTAGCTTGAAGTTGGAGGGTATTTTGCTGCCATTCGCCTGTCTTTTGACTGGGCAGGGCCATTTTGAATGGCTGCTCCTGTAGAAACTACTTTAAAACAGTTTCTAGTTGGGACAGGGTGCCTGGAAAATGCTTTAAGCTCCTCAGTTCCTGTGTTGTTTAAAAGGATTCTCAGTATGCATCCTCCTGAGGGGGTCTGAATCTTTGTAGCATTCTTTTTAGAATCAGAAGACATTTTTAACTTTTGCATCACATATTCAAATAGGTTGCAGAGGGATGTCCAGTTTTCCTTCCTGTAAACCCCACAGGTTGTTGTTAAAGCGCTCTTTTTATATGTTCCACATCTAGATGCAGATTAACTTAAATGATCCAGACTGTTTGTGTTAAGTAGCCAAACAGGGATTGGATTAGTCCGTCACTGAGGCTGGAAGGAGCAGCGTTGTCTGGGATCCATTATTAACTCGTAGTCAAGCCTGTCTGATCTTCTGGTTGGACAATAGCTTCTAGGTGCTAATCTTAGCTCAAGATCAGGATCTTAATGCCGGTATGCAGTTACAGCGTCTCGCAAAAGTATTCTTCATGAACTCTTCAACTATTTGTTGCATAACTTGCAGATATGCAAGTTGGAAGGAAATGATCTGTATTGTTTTAAAATATTTGCACAGGGTACAAGTTATATTTTTATGTTCATAATCCATTATTTACCATAGTAAAATAGATTGTTACCACTGTATACTATTCTCAAAGTTATAGTATGAGCTTCTCCCTCAAACTGTACAATCCCCATACTTGGATAAGCTGTTTAGCAATCTACATCAACTCAAAAGAACATAGATATGTGAAGTCTAGACTGGTTCATGGTTTATTAATCTGGATGTCCAGATTCCACTCTTGAAAATTCAGAGTAACATGTCAGCTTTTGTTTTTTATTCTCTTTGGTGCCATAACTGGTTCCAATTAATGAGTCACAGGTGATGATGGACCTTTGGTTTGATTTCTTGTGGATTTGATATAAGAATGTTTTATTTTCTATCTTTAAGATCATGGAATAAGTAAGAAAGTGAAGAAAATTAAACATTTTTCTGTTTTCTTATTTATTTCCAAGGCTTTGAAAAGTATGATACTCATTTCCAGACAGCATAGAACCCCTGATGTAAACTTTTAACCTGCTGGGTGAGTTACAGCTACTTGTATTTTGAGCTGTCAACTAGCTTTGCACGTTCCCTTTACAAGGTAGCTTAAACTCTGCCAGGTTGGCTCCATCCGTTAGCTCTCTGCAGCTCCACTATCCATGCAAAATAAAAGCATGCCCACAGCATAATACTGCCAGTAGGAGCTGGTATGTCCAGGGCCAAATAATAAAAGTCAAATTAACAATTTCACCTGAGCTTTGGAACTCTGTAGCTCCCCCAGAAGCACCATGGGCCCTCTACCTTCCCACCAGTATTAGTGATATTTTATATATAAGACCATTTTTTTATTAGTTTCTTATTCTATGGAATTTGGAGCTGTTTTTAAGGTTGTGATCATAGAATGAGATGGGAAAGTAAAATGCGGTATTAATACTTTTGTAAGGATGAGTTTAATTGGCCAAAGATGCTGTTTATTTGCTCAGAAATCTGAGCTTGATTGGTTTCCAGTCCATAGGTTCAAAAGGAATTAAAGTGAGGAAAAGAGGAAAAGAAAACAGCCTGATTGAAGAGTAGAATCAGTTCTCCGGTCATTCCTCAACATCATGTTTTCACTCTTACCCTTAGAATAAAAAAAGTTCAATCGCCGCCTCTTTCACCTCCAATGTCTATAAAATGTACATTTAGGGATTTATTTAATCATGAAAGTGAATATTTTTGTATTGATTATGCATTTGTAACCAAAAAGAGCAGAATATTTATTTTCACTGATGCAAATGAACAAAGTGTCCATATCTGTGCATCATGAAGTGCTTTTGGTCTGAGTGTAGTTTTCTGTGCAAACAGTCTTCCTTTGCATACTAATTTATGCTGTATGTTACTACTGTGCAAAAGTGAGGTGTCACTGTGCCACATCTGTAATGTCCTAGAATAAAACCCCAGACAGACAGGTGGCTTCTTCTGTGTGAAGGGTATTCTAGCCTATGCTGTGATGCATGTACCCCAGAAACCATTTTTTTTAAAACAGTTTAGGAGTTAAAACATTGGAGCACTTTGAATACTTCGATAAATGTTGAAAGGCTGTCATGTATGATCTGTGTGTTTGTGTAAAAATCTGCTTTGAAATCAGTTTAATAAACACAGAAAACCATGAAATGTTTACTTTTTATTCAGTCAGCGTTCATAAAAGGCCTGAATTTATCTAGAGTACAAAATATTTCCTCTTGATTGAAAGCCGTGAGATAAAAAAAAAACAAAAAAGGTTTCAAGCGAAGCAAATTAAATCCATTTTTGGAAAACTTTAAAGCGAGAAAATATCAAACAGCTTCACATAAAACCCCCAAAACAAGGATCCATATCAGCACAGACTGCTGATTTTCACTGCAGCATCCTTAGAAAAAGGAGAATAAACTGAAAAAAAAAAAAAAAAAAAGATGAAAGTTGTATTTTTCATTTTGTTCTGCTTGATAAACTGATTATTTTAAATGAACTGAAGTGAAATTCAACGGGTTTCATTCGTTTTCTACTTGGCAGCTGCAAACCCGACTCGGTCTGCGTTCCTGTCAAACACGGTGTAGTACTTCCCGATGAACACGTCTCCCAGGATCCAAAGGGGCCCGGCCGGGGGTGGGATATCCATCCCCATGAACCCAGACAGGCAGAGAGAAACTCCCATCTGAGACTCCTGCAATAAACAGGGGAAAAACACTTTGTTTTTCATGATTGCAAGATAATTTTAAGTTTCATTATTATTCTTGATAGAGAAACAGATCTTAAGCCTAGGCTTATATGGGACACTTCTTATAGTCTGAAGTCTGAACTTAATTCTACTCCGTTGATCCTGAGATTGACCAAACAATGTTCACTGACTAAAATATTTTAGTCATATTCTAATAAAATAAAAAAAATAAAAAAGTTGCGTTCATAAATTTAGGGCTGAAACAATAAGATTAATTGTGATTAATCGATTACTGAAAAAAAATCTTCAATGTAGTAATCGATTAATCATTAAATTGAGTGTAGAGACTAAAACATGCGTTAAGCTGACAGAGAAACCCACTCAGAGCAGTAATTATAACATGATTGTAAAAAAATATATAAACATTTTACATTTAAGATAAAACAAAAAATATTTTCATCTGTCAATATGCTGTATCCAGAACTCAATACGAAACGTTTGAGTTTCACTTGGTTTATTTTCATATAAAATCTTCTTAAAAGGAACCTTTAAATTATTAATCCAATAATTTAAAACAAATTTGCGACATATTAATGGATTTGCAAAATAATAGTTAGTTGCAGCCCTAATAAATTTTAATAAACTTTCTCTGCAGACAGGAAGCTAAAGTTTTGACTGACTCACGGTTGCAGAAGTGGAGACCCTCAAATCTATTTTGAAGTCTTTTAGATCCATTTAAATATACATGTTAAAAATGCTCTTTACACTGAACAGCCTTTCTGCTCATCTAAAATTAAGATTTTAAATTGAATACATCTTTTAAACCTTTGCATATCAGATTCAGGCCACAAACTATTTGGAGGCAGATATATTTTTTTGTTTTTTGGAACCAACTTTCTGAGAAGGCAAGCATATTTGGACTGAATGAAGCTTCACACTTTGTGCGCAATGTGCCATAAACACCCTGACTAAACTCTTCATTGGTCAGGGTCTTATACCACAAGAGGCAACTTTTTAAATGCTGAGTCACAGTTGAAGAAGAGTTCAGACAAACTAAGACATAAAACTAGAACTGAGAACAGCCCACCTGAGGTCTGATTCACTGGTTCATGTTTATTGGCACAATAAGCTTTGGCTTCTGTACTTCTGATAATTCACTCTAAAGATCAAACTGCAGTGTTTCCCTCTCCTTATGCTTTAGGAAGAGAGCCAATCCGGTTTATCCAGTAAGGCTTTTACAGATCCAGTTAATAACTTGGATGTAGGATCCAGGAAAGGAACCAATAAGGCTGGAACCATAAAACCAGAGAAAACTCCAGGCAGAGAAAATACAGTAGCTGTTTGAATAGAGGGCAGAGAGCTGATGGATCCCAGGACAGAAGCATGGGGGGTTGGGGTTTCAATACAGAAAACAACTCTGACCTACTGGTTAGGCACAGAACTATATGAACTCAAAGACTCTTCCTTTTAAATTCTCCTTCTAAAGTTGTTCTTCAGGTTTTAGACCAGCTGCATTCTGAACAAATTTATTTTCAGGACAGAATAACTAAAGGGACATTTATTCACCACGGAACACTCACTTTTAGTTCTCTTTGTAAATTCCCCTTAAGGGGATTTACCAATTCATTTATTTTTTACTTTGTCATAGAGCTTACTCTTACTATTTCGTACTGTCATAGAGCTTTTCAAGTAATCAGTCTGCTTCAAATTCACGTCAATTTCCATTTGTACAATACAGGCCTCCTAATCGAGTTTCTTTCTTCACAGTATCCAGTTATAGCTCACTAAATAAGTGGAATATTTCATCAATCAGGTGACCAAAATGCTTTTAAAGCGGCCCAGTGTAACTTTTGGCTACAAAAGGCCATTAGAAACACCACACATTAGAAAAAAATACAAAGCCTTCCACAGAGTTTTGGACTCTGATAACGGACCACTGTGGAGCAGAAGATTTAGAGTCAGACTTATAAAGACAAGGCTGCATTCAGCCCTCTGGATTAAATCCTACATCAGAACCAAAAATAGGTCTGATCAGGAGAGGGTCATATCTGTTGTGTTAGTTAGCTAGCTGTTTAATGGGAGCTCAGACTGAAGTAAAGTGGCGCTCTGGGTCACATGGTCCATTCAGGGACAGATCTGACCCTCTAAAGTTACATACAGGCAAGTTTTTCAGAGGCAGGCCTGCAGAGCATTAAATACCTTCCAAATAACAAATCCTGAAAAGTCATTTCAAAAGTTTCAAACTAAACTAATACTCGAGTCAAAATTTGTGCTGCATGAAGTAGTGGTTTTTGTTTTTTTTATTATACTAAGGATTATGTTTTTCTGTCTTTTTAATTGGCTTTTCCTTGTACTTTTTGAAGCACTTTTGGTATTTTGAAAAGTGAAAGATGCCATTAAAGTAACAATCACCAATTGAAACCAATATAACTTATTACACATATAAACCTCTCAGCAATGTTCACTTTCCATGTTGTAAAATAATTCAACTTTGAGCAGTCTATATGTTGATTTTTGAAGGAACAAAATGTGAAGAATTCACTATTTGAGAAAAAAAAAAAGTTTTTTGTGAAGAAAAGAAATGCAACATTTCATATGGGCTATTGTAAGGGGTCATTCACCACCTTCCGGTTTTGTTCTCTAATCTCTAGTTCACATAGTTGGGCCTGTGCCATGACTGTAGAGTATATGTGCATGCAAACTGTAACATAGGCACAAAATAGCAGACAGAGCATCCAGGGGACCAAAACATTCACATGCAGACCATCAGGACTCATTGTCACAGCAAAAAAATAAAAAATAAAATAAAAACAATGTTTTTTTTTATAAAGAAGTTGTCAGAAAAAGGGCATAACCAAATCACCCCTTGTGTCATATTATTGGGCTTAACAGTAAGGTGTAATAAAATGTAGCGCTGTTCTGGTCTACAAATAGTGCTCAACAGCACACCTAGTGGTAAAAACTTATTACTCCTTTAAATGCAACAATCCTGTTAATTTTTCAGACACTTGTAATGTTTCCGTTTCCACAAGCAAAATAAAGGCATCACAAAAAAAAAAAAAAAAAAAACACACACACACACAAAAAAAACTCAGTTTTAATGAGTCATAAAATGTAGAAAATATCCAATTCAAATTCCCTAAAATCAATTACGATTTAAAGCAATTGGATTAATGGACAGTACAGCTCCAAATATAAACTTATATATTCAAGACTTTAACAAATAAAATAAGCCTAGGCTCATTTAAATTGGGCAGTTAGATGACAGCAGCTTCTTAGAGCTTCTAGAAAAAATAAAAAAAGTCAGACCATCAACCTTTTTTTGTATTCGCAATACTGCCAGTAGGACAAAAACTACTTACAGCAGCCCCAAAAACTGAGTAAAATCCTGAACACAGGGAATCCGATTTTATGTCCAATCCGACAGAAAATCGTCATACGAGGTTGTGGTGTTTAGCTCTCATTATAAGTCAAAAGTGCTTGATACACCCAACAAGAGGGCTTGCATACTTCCGACTGAGACCTCAAATCTCACTTAGACTACACAGCAATTCAGCAGCAATTTTACAGGTCTGACAGGAAGAAATATGCAGTTACAAAGTAAAACACATTCTCTTTGGGGGAAAATACAAAGTAAAATCTTTAAATCACACACAGAAATGGTTAGGTGTGCTTCATATGCGCTGTGCATATGAAGCAGATGGGGCAGGCTGGGCATAAACAATGAAACATTTTAAAATAAGAAGTTTATCCAGTTCAGAAGGACAAATCAGATAAAGTATTGATCCTCTTGGAGTTTAACAAAAAACAAAATGAGAGGCAGACAGTGCAGGTAAGCAAAGCTCCTCACTCTTCACAGATCTCTCACTGAGAGTCACCTTTCACTGCCTAAGGCAGCATATAAACGATACCACAGCTTTTTCCTGCTTTTTTCTTTTCTTTAAACTTACTTCCCATTATATTTTAATATAGGCCTTTAAAAATGATCAGTTCTGGATTAAGAGATGCTGCACAGACTCATACAGCAGGGCTTTGCTTTGTAGCTGCGACAGTTTTTTTAATTTCATTTATTTGAAATAACTTTCCATTATCTGTATCATTCAAATGTGGGAAATTGTTTGAATTAGTGTGATACAGAGACAGAGGAGCCTGTGTCTAGAGAGTCAGAGCCTCTATACTCAGTCAGTGTAAGATCTTCATAAAAATAACATATGGAAAATACATGAAAAAATACTCTTGGTAGAAAATGACAATGACCTACCATGCATTCCTGTGGATTTTTTGTGGCTTTAATAAAAATCTGTAACCTCAAAAAGAGTGTAATAATAAGCATACTATATAGATACCTTCATTACATAGTCCTCTCCAGTCAAGTTAAAAATCTTCCCTCCGATGTTGAAAGAGACAACAGGAAGAGTTGGAATCTTCTTACAGTCAATCATATACTGGAGAGAGAAAAGAAAAAAAACAGCATAAT